GAGAATATCATGGTCACAGGCCTAGGGGAATCCTACCTAGTCTGGAAAAAAAATGTTTGCTGCTGCATAACAGGACCCTTGGTACAGCAAGTGCAGCATATTTCTCCTCATTAATAGAGGAGAATAAGAATAATCGTAGATATATTTTAATACAGTTGCAAACTCACCCAGAGCCATAGCTCTGTTGAATCATCGATCCCACCTGTTCTTAGCAGCAGTGGCTGGTGGAGTTTTCTTCAGGGGGGGCTATAAATTCCAAATAGATGTATGACAACAACCAATCAAACATATACTAAGTTATCACGTCAGTATATTAAAATGAATGCCAAAAAATATATATTATAAAAACATAGGTTCATGTGCAGGTCCACGTTTGTATATTGGTTATTTATTCTCCTAGTGCAAAGTATTTATATTGTAAAAATAATTTACAGTACAGAATGTTATTTGTTTATTTAGTTTTTTTTTAACTCTCTATGATTATGTTATTTTTATATACTTGTCTAAGGTTGTGTTACCACTTTTGTTATCTTTCTTTTGCTGTAACACTAGAATTTTCCTCATTGTGGGACAATAAAGGGATTTTCTATTCTATTTTATTCTATTCTAGGTTTACTTTTTTACGCTCGAACCAACTCCTGCAAAAACTCCTATTGTAGACTTTATATTTTTCCTTTTTCTGCTGGTTGATGATAAGGTCAGGCTTGTCTGGTCCCAACTCTTTAACCAGGATTTTCTCCTCCATTGTTCTTCTGGCAAATGGGTAAATAAATAAGGATCTCACCGAATTTGGTGGAAGCTGCACCTCGCTCGTTACGTTCGCCATCGTCCCTCTAATTGTCTGCACCTGCGCATTGGGTGCAGAAGCCTGTTAAACGGCAGTATTTTCAGTGCCCCAAGACCATAAAATTCTGAGACGCTGATTGGCCATTAAATTATTAAATTCACCTAGCAATAGTACATGATTGACAGATTCTCTGCACATGTGGGTCTGTCTGATCAGCGCACCAAGACAGAGACGGTAGGAGTCTGTCTGTGGAAATCCACAAATGAATGACAGTAGATAGGGAAATGTAGTTTATATAATTTGTTTTGCTCTAGAGAGTAAAACTGACAACTATGAGTTAATTTCCAAAAACATATTTTACGTTTCTCTCTTCTTATCAGGGAGGGCGGTGCCCCAGCGCCCCCTATGGGTCGGCCGCCACTGCTTAGCAGTAATGATTATATGGAATCTTTATAAATAAGATTGATTGTATTAAAAATAAGATCATTAGCACTCCTCTAACTATGATTGGTTTATCTCTGGAAGGTGAGGCACCATCTGAGGTAGCCATAGAACCTGAACTGAGTTCAGACTGCTTTGATGCAGTTGAACATTCAGAGGTGGCAGAACTATTGTCTTCATCTAAGCCTTGAGTGTTGTATGTTAGATCCAGTTCTAACCAGAATTTAACGAAGTATTCCCTTTAATCTCCTCCTTAATTTCAGATGTCATTAATATCTCCCTGTTACGGGGATATGTACCAAAGACTTTTAAGGTTGCTGTAATTAAACATTGAAAATTAATCTAAAATTCTGGAGAAAGCAGTTGCCAAATAAATGTGCAACCACTTACACCATAATGAAGTTCGTGAAGAGTTTAAGTCTGGCTTTAGAGCTCATCATAGCACTGAAACAGCTTTGGTGAAAGTCACTAATAATATTCTCATGGCCTCATTTAATGGACTTATATCTGTCAAGGGTTAACTGTGGAGTACCACAGTATCAGTGCTAGGACCAATTCACTTTACTATGAAAACTAACTTTGAATTCATTTTAATTTTATAAAAGATGATCTAAATCATCATTTTATAAACTCTGACATCTATTCCCAGAGCCATACTGGAAAAAACAGGAGACAAATAAGATACACAATTATCAACTTTTCCGGCATGCTTTGTTAGCTGCTGGAAAAGATTTATTAGCCCTAAAGTTGGTCTCAAATGTGTTCTGTCAGATGAGCATACCCCATCAGACCAGCATACCTATAGTCAATCCGCATGCATAAGACGTCAGATTTGCCTTTCACCCTTTAGTTTTGTTCCATAAATAGACTTTATAGTACCTCAACGGGCGTGTAACCCTTCAGTCGTGTTAAAAAAAAAACAAAAAACAATTTAAGGTCAGATTGCCATACGCTTCACAAAACACCAAAAAGTAAGTAATTCAATTGTTCTTTTTGTTCATTACTAAAGGGAGACATGCCAGTTGAGGTAGTTTAAAATGTATTTTTCGTACAAAACTAAAGGGATAAACATGGATGTCTGTCATCCATCCATCTTATGTAAAGGCATCACAACTGAACGGACACCAAACCGGATGGAGCTACTTTGAAGAGAGAAAAATGTATTCAGGACTCATTGAAGCAAACAATATTTACTCATTTACAGAATGTTTAATTGTGTAAGTCGAAAAAACAGAAGAATGACGTTAACAAAATTTGAGGAAAAACCTTTGAACACCTTTGAACAATGAGTCATATGCAGACATTTTTTTATACATTGCAGATTTTTTAAAGTTTGAAGACAAGATTTTCAGTTACAGTTATATAATGGTGTCAATCTACACAATTCCCGAAAAAAAAAACATCCTGATTATTACTTAAATTTAAAATATGGTTTGCTAGATCACATGTTTTTATTTGTAAAGGCTAGTGCCAGAAACTTTAACAGTGTTGCATAAGTTGCATCTTAACAACTGTGCTCTCATCAGATCGAATTAGCCATTTTCAGACTGATATTCAGGGAAATACATAAAAGTCTAGAACTAGTTTAGTTTAAATAAAAAAAAAATCTTAGATTGATAAGTCAATACTCATTATAGTTCTCATGGCAATCCATTATTTATTCAGGTAAAAACCTAAAGATTTATGACTTGGTCAAGTGGTTCAAAGCTAAATCGTCAGATAAAGTTTAACATAATAAAATTCCTCAATGTTTAAAGATGATGTTCACTCAGAAAGAAATTACAACCTAAGGAGGATAAACATTTTTAACAAGCCACCTACAGAAAAGACTTAAAGAGAACATCGTTCATCAGGTAAAAGAGTTAAGAAATGGGATAGTTGCAGTGCTGAGCAAAAAAAAAAGCTTCCTCTCTTTTATAGTTGAAAACGATATATCATGAAATACATCTGACAGAATAAAAAATGATAATATACACTATATTGCCAAAAGTATTTGCTCACCCATCCAAATTATTGGAATCAGGTGTTCCAATCACTTCCATGGCCACAGGTGTATAAATTCAAGCACCTAGGCATGCAGACTGTTTTTACAAACATTTGTGAAAGAATGGGTCGCTCTCAGGAGCTCAGTGAATTCCAGCGTGGAACTGTGATAGGATGCCACCTGTGCAACAAATCCAGTCGTGAAATTTCCTCGCTCCTAAATATTCCACAGTCAACTGTCAGCTGTATTATAAGAAAATGGAAGTGTTTGGGAACGACAGCAACTCAGCCACGAAGTGGTAGGCCACGTAAACTGACGGAGCGGGGTCAGCGGATGCTGACGCGCATAGTGCGAAGAGGTCGCCAACTTTCTGCAGAGTCAATCACTACAGACCTCCAAACTTCATGTGGCCTTCAGATTAGCTCAAGAACAGTGCGCAGAGAGCTTCATGGAATGGGTTTCCATGGTCGAGCAGCTGCATCCAAGCCATACATCACCAAGTGCAATGCAAAGCGTCGGATGCGGTGGTGTAAAGCACGCCGCCACTGGACTCTAGAGCAGTGGAGACGCGTTCTCTGGAGTGACGAATCGCGCTTCTCCATCTGGCAATCTGATGGACGGGTCTGGGTTTGGCGGTTGCCAGGAGAACGGTACTTGTCTGACTGCATTGTGCCAAGTGTAAAGTTTGGTGAAGGGGGGATTATGGTGTGGGGTTGTTTTTCAGGAGCTGGGCTTGGCCCCTTAGTTCCAGTGAAAGGAACTCTGAATGCTTCAGCATCCCAAGACATTTTGGACAATTCCATGCTCCCAACTTTGTGGGAACAGTTTGGAGCTGGCCCCTTCCTCTTCCAACATGACTGTGCACCAGTGCACAAAGCAAGGTCCATAAAGACATGGATGACAGAGTCTGGTGTGGATGAACTTGACTGGCCTGCACAGAGTCCTGACCTCAACCCGATAGAACACCTTTGGGATGAATTAGAGCGGAGACTGAGAGCCAGGCCTTCTCGTCCAACATCAGTGTGCAACCTCACAAATGCGCTTCTGGAAGAATGGTCAAAAATTCCCATAAACACACTCCTAAACCTTGTGGACAGCCTTCCCAGAAGAGTTGAAGCTGTTCTAGCTGCAAAGGGTGGACCGACGTCATATTGAACCCTATGGATTAGGAACGGGATGTCACTTAAGCTCATATGTGAGTCAAGGCAGGTGAGCAAATACTTTTGGCAATATAGTGTATTTTGGTGCAGCTGACCAACCAAGAAAAACTTTGGTTGCAAATTTGTTATTTTTTTCCTCCAACCGACGTCTACATTTGGTTGAAAAGTGAAAGGTGAAAAGCCATACTTTTCAGACCGTTGAAAAGACGTTAAAAACTGGGTTTGTAACGTCTTTTCAGCGTCTATTATTGGACCAAAGTGGGATAAAATCATAGCGACCAAACAGCCCAATCTTCAACAACTATATTTCGTTCAAATCAAGACTATGACAGACTGACCAGATTTAGCCTACAAACCAACGTCTGAATCAGTGATTCCCAACCAGGGGTACTCCTACTCCTAGAGGTCTGCGAGTGCATTGCAAGGGGTACATGAAAATATGTAATTTCTTAGGTATTAGAATAAAATAGAACTGGGATCTGTTCTGCTTTGTGAGGACCAAATTCAAAAAACAAAAAAAAGCTTTTATAAACCAAAAAGAAAGTTGGATATAGGTTTATATTTGAGTTCAGCTTTAAAACCAAGCAGAGGAACAGACTGGATTTAGAGAACAGCCTGGGATCACCGTTTTTTGTTGTTATTTTGTTTTATTATTTATTGACATTACATTGTCAGAAGGACAGAGCATTGAAATAAACTGAATTTATAATAGGTATTTATTTTGTATTTATTTCTATTATATTATTATAACTGGCAGGCCACATACATATGTTGTTCTTTATTGTCCATTGTTCGTCCATTTCAATTTGCATGCCAAAACAAGGCTTGTTTGTTGGGCTGCTGTATAAAGCCTCAAGAACTCAACACTATTTCTGACATTTTGAATTGAAAAAGCTTCCTGGATGGGAAGCGAAATGACTTCAAACTTGGAAACAAAGTCCAATGGATTGTTTTTTTTTTAACTTTTTTGGAATATTTTAAAATCAGTTATTGTGCATTTTCCTTTTGGACAATCATCAATATTGTTGACTGACTGATGGTATTACAAAATGCCCAAAAGGGAAAACATGTCAAAAAAGGTTGGGAACCACTGTTCTAAAAGACGTCTGGTGTTTGGGAGAAATGTTTCACAATATGTTCATTTGTTGAAGGACAATAAGCTTTCGGTTCTGCCTGTAGCTGGTTGTTAGAACTTTTATTTATGTTTTAAAGCTACATTTCTTTAAACCAACTTTTATGGGTTAGACAAACATTCTTTTTTTAGTCTGATGTGAAATTTTGCTAAAGTAGCTGCAGAAGAGCAAAGACCCTGCTAAACATATTCCCCTCTTTAGCTTTCAGCCACAGTAGAAGAGCTTCTCATGTGAGAGTGTAGTCTAACGTTGTTGGGAAATTTTCACCTGGACCTTGAATGGAGCTTGAATGACTAGAGTTCCAGTTGCAATAACCGGAACGTCATCTAGAGAGGAAAAAGACACAGATGTAAACAGCTGAACTGCACTGCAGTGGAACCGGTACAACCACTACGTTATTTTGCACCCACCATTGTTGCCTGCATCAATAACAACTGGTTGTATGCTGTGTCTGACCAATGCAGAATCTTTCTGCATGGAGCATTTCAACGTATTCAGGCCTGTGTCTTCTGCAGCGTTCAACCAGTCGGCTTGGTCAATGACGATGTTGTACCTAAGGATCGACAGTACAGAGAACATGTAAACAGAGCAAAGTCAAAACAAAGCATATAATAATGAAGTCCCTCATACAAATGTCTGTATTTGTCTTTCTTTTACCCTTTGGTGTTTATGGGTTCTTGCCACATAATTGCTTCAAGTTGTAACACTTTTTTTCATATAATCAACACTGCTTTGATTGGATGAAAAGAATCAGAGCGTGATCGGCTGATGGTGTGGTTCTTTACATAGTCAAAAAAGGTAGGGGGACCTTTTGAAGACCAGAATGTTCACATTTTTGACAAAGAGGACAGGTGGTTTGAAAGGGGTATGAAAGAAGCCGTTTATGTAAAGAGAGAAAAAACAACCTTAAACAAACGGCATGGACTCAAAAACCTTCAACACAGCGATACAGTTGATTCCTTCCTACTATCATAATCCTGATAACCATGCAGGGGACTAAGACATCGGCTAGTCAGCCTGGCCAACAATGCCCCTAATGACTCCCCTTTCAGAAGCATAGATCAGTATCAGGTATTGCATGCTAACAAAGATCGCAACGACTCCCCAAGCATTCCTAAGGGGTGGACATGTTCTTCAGATTCAATTTTAATGTTTTCTAAGCTAAAACAAGGCTTTGTTGGGCTACTCAATTTAGCTTGGAACTCAACACTGGGGAGCGAAACGTCTTCAGACGTGGAAAACAAAGTCCAGTGGTTAGCACAGCTGATATTTCTCTCCAGGATGGAGTCACTGCCAAACAGCAACAGACCAGATGAAGCTACTATGATAATAAAGAGCAGAGCATAACGTCAGAGATTGAACTAACAAATACTGCAAAGAGAGAGAATAGATAGAATGAAACAGAAGGATGAAAAAGGGGTCCCTATGTCCTCCAGCAGTCTAAGCCTATAGCAGCATAACTATAGAGATAGCTCAGGATAACCTGAGCCACTCTAACTCAGGTGGGGATTTACCATTAGGCAATACTAGGCAGTTGCCTAGGGCCCCAAGTTCCTGGGGGCCCCATAAAACTCTGTTTCCACGTATGGTTAATACAACTAATCCTTATTTGTGCACATTAATTATGTTTTTGATAAAAATCCTTTGGCTAAAATGCCATCAGAACGCTGATAAATAGAGAGGAAAAAGGGACAAGAAGAGAGGGACAAAACCTAGAACAAGTAACGGATGTCTATTCTATTAACATTTCTCTATCTGTAGAATGGGTATGTTTTATGGGTTTTCTTCTCAGGGGGCCCCCTGCCTGTCTTTGCCTAGGGCCCCAAATTTCCTAAATCCGCCCCTGCTCTAACTATAAGCTTTATCAAAAAGGAAAGTTTTAAGCCAAGCCTTAAAAGTAGACAGGGTGTCTGCCTCACGGACTAAAACTGGTTGTTGGTTCCTACAGGAGAGGAGCCTGATAACTAAAAGATCTGCCTCCCATTCTACTTTTAGAAATTCTAGGAACCACTAGTAAACCTGCAGATTGAGAGCGAAGTGCTCTGTTAGGAACATAAGGAACAATCCGATCTTTATTTTGGATTTAACAGGAAGCCCACGAAGAGAAGCCAGGATAGAAGAGATATGATCTCTCTTTTTAATTTTCATCAGAACTCTGGCTGCAGCATTTTGGATCAGCTGAAGGCTTTTAACTACAGCTTGTGGACTTCCTGATAGTAAAAAATTACAATAGTCCAGCCTTGAAGTTACAAATGCATGGACTGGTTTCTCAGCATCAGGCCTGGACAGGATATTTCCAAAGTTTGCAATATTCCGCAGATGAAAGAAGGAAATTCTAGAAACCTTTGATATTGGATTTAATGACAGGTCCTGCTCAAGACTAAAACCAAGATTTTTTATTTTATTATCTGAAGTTAGTTTAATCTCATCCAAATGAATTGACTGACTAATCGCTTCTTTTTAGAAGACTTTGGTCCAAAGACTATAACTTCTGTTTTCTCTGCATTCAGAAGGAGAAAGTTAAGACTCATCCAGGTTTTTATGTCTTCGAGACATGATGTAAATATAGTAAAGAGAATTGACCCTAGCACTGATCCCTGTGGTTCTCCACAAGTAACCCTGGAGAATGAGGAAGATTTGTTATTAACGTGAACAAACAGAAATCTGACAGATAGATAGAATAGAATTAAACCAGTCTAGTGCTGTTCCTTTAATTCCTACAAAATATTCAAGTCTGAGATCCAACAGGACGAGCACAGATACAAGTCAATTATCTGAGGCCATGAGAATATCATTAGCGACTTTCACCAGAGCTTTTTCAGTGCTATGATGAGCTCTATAGCCAGACTGAAACTCTTCCAAAAGTTAATTATGGTGTAAGTGATCGCACACTTGTTTGGCAACTATTTTCACAAGAATTTTAGATAAGAAAGGAAGATTGGATATAGGTCTATAATTGACCAAGTCATCTGGGTCAAGAGACAGTTTTTTTTAAGTAAAGGTTTAATTACAGCAACCTTAAAAGTCTTTAATACATATCCCTTGAACAGAGATAGATTAATCACATCTAAAATGGAAGAGGAGAGCCCTAACTCTAACATCAGTGGACTTAAGACCTGAACCTAGGCTTCTTTTAACTTGCCTTGTTGTACGAAGAAATGTTTAGCCACATTATCAAACAGCCCAATAATAATTTATACATTTACTGCTTGGCAAGAATCTCATTCACTTCTTGGCACAAAACTCTCCTTTCTTAGAAGAGCACCTTTGTGGGGTAATCCCAGCCTCTTACATCAAATTGCTGACTCAGCCTTGCGGCAGTGGAGAGGTAGAGGAATCCAAACAGTTGCTGATTTATACATTAATGATATATTTTCCAATTTTCATCAGTTAAATGAAAAATTTAAGCTCAACAAAGATAGTTTCTTCAAATCTTTACAAATCAGAGACTGGGTTAAAGAGAAATCAAAAGAAACCTTCCCAGGCAACCTATAAGAAACTCCTCTTGAAAGCCACCTATGTAATGAATCATGCACATCAACAAAAGGAATAATATCTTCTATATATGGTATCATCAATGGAAAGTTACCCACTTACGATAAAACAGTTACAAAAAGGAAATGGGAAAAATACTTAGGGTGTATTTATGAGGAGGCAGAGTGGCATCATCTATTGTAACAGGCACAGACTGTGCTAACCTCCACAAAACGCAGACAAATTCAGTTTGATATATTTCATAGGAAATATTACACTCTTTACAGGCTGCACAGAATTGACAGTAAAATTTCCTCTATGTGTTAGAGATGTAAAGTGACTGATGGGGATCTTATACACATGCTATGGAGTTGGCCAGTGATGAAAGGACTTTGGAAATGTGTCATTGTGATAACTTCAAGGGTAATAGGAATGCAAATTGAACAAGACCCAAAACTATGGATTCTCAAAGACAATAATTATGACAAGAAATACTTATTTTTTTTTTTTTTACTTTCAAGCACTGCAGTGAAGTAATGTATCCTGGTTAACTGGAAATCTGAAAATTCCCCGTCAGTAAGACACTGGATCAATGAGCTTGTATCTTACTGCACACCTAAAAAATATGCTGTATAATGTTAGAGGAAAACATGCAATCTTTGAAAAAATCTGGGCCCCATCATAGACATTCTGCCCTCTCTGGACCCAGCTGTCTATAGTGGAGTGAGCCTTTCTGGACAGGCTCCAAATTATCCCTTTGCAGGTTCATCTTATATAACTTCCTCTCTTATGTACCTCGATAGAAGTAGTGTGTTGAATTAAACAGAGATGAATGCGCTCAGATGGATGTGTTGTGTGCAGAAATGAAAGGATTTTGAGAACCATACGAGAAAGGAGGGTGGGGGGTGGGAGGGGAAACGTTTGTGTTATATTTTGTTTCTTTGTTTTCTTTTGGTGTTAAAAATCAAAAATAATCTTCCTTGTATGGTATGTCTGTAAGACTATATATCAATAAGTTTGCTTTATAAAATAAAGATTTCAGTATAACTTGCTTGCTATACACCATAAATCTCTTGTAAAAGCTTATGGTAATAAAACAAATCTTAGAAAAAAAAAAAAAGAAAATGCAGTGCATTATGGTACCTTCTTACTTTGGAAGGACACTGAATTAAAAACAACTATAAGTGCAAAAAAAAAAAAAACTGAAACAAAAATTACTGTTAACTTAGTGGGCTTAATGACTTAATTAATTATCTATCTACCTTTCATAAAAATGGTTTAGATGCAGTTAATCATCATTAATACATGTTTTTTAAATATTTATTTTATTCATAGTTCCCCCTACAATATTATGCATAGAGTTAATATTTCTAATTGTTGCATGGGTTGTAATGACACAGAGTGAGAGACTGGATTTAGATTTACGTTTTTAGGTTTGATTGAAGTATCAGAGGATCATTGACGTCTCTCACAGTCACCACCACTGTGGCAGTGGAAGTGGGCAATGCAGTAGCAAAAGGAATCTCATTCTCCACTGCAACCAGTAGAGTGTGCTTACTGGTTTTCTCAAACTCCAGACCCTGTTAATAGAAGAAAAACATTATATTTCTTCAGGCATTAATGGCTCAGGCTGGACCTCAGCTGATGTAATAACTTCTTTCACCATAATTTTTCATATATATACAGTGGGGCAAAAAAGTACTTAGTCAGCCACCAAGAGTGCAAGTTCTCCTACTTAAAAAGATGAGAGAGGCCGGTAATTATCATCATAGATATACCTCAACTATGAGAGACAAAATGAGAAAAAAAAAATCCAGAAAATCACATTGTCTGATTTTTAAAGAATTTATTTGCAAAATATGGTGGAAAATAAGTATTTGGTCAATAACAAAAGTTCATCTCAATACTTTGTTATATACCCTTTGTTGGCAATGACAGAAATCAAACGTTTTCTGTAAGTCTTCACAAGGTTTTCACACACTGTTGCTGGTATTTTGGCCCATTCCTCCATGCAGATCTCCTCTAGAGCAGTGATGTTCTGGGGCTGTCGCTGGGCAACACGGACTTTCAACTCCCTCCAAAGATTTTCTATGGGGTTGAGATCTGGAGACTGGCTAGGCCACTCCAGGACCTTGAAATGCTTCTTACGAAGCCACTCCTTCGTTAGCCGGGCGGTGTGTTTGGGATCATTGTCATGCTGACAGACCCAGCCACATTTCATCTTCAATGCCCTTGCTGATGGAAGGAGGTTTTCACTCAAAATTTGATGATACATGGCCCCATTCATTCTTTCCTTCACACGGATCAGTCGTCCTGGTCCCTTAGCAGGAAAACAGCCCCAAAGCATGATGTTTCCACCCCCATGCTTCACTGTAGGTATGGTGTTCTTTGGATGCAACTCAGCATTCTCTCTCCTCCAAACACGACGAGTAGAGTTTTTACCGAAAAGTTCTATTTTGGTTTCATCTGACCATATGATATTCTCCCAGTCATCGTCTGGATCATCCAAATGCTCTCTAGCAAACTTGAGCCGGGCCTTGACATGTACTGGCTTAAGCAGGGGGACACGTCTGGCACTGCAGGATTTGAGTCCCTGGCGGCGTAGTGTGTTACTGATGGTAGCCTTTGTTACTTTGGTCCCAGCTCTCTGCAGGTCATTCACTAGGTCCCCCCGTGTGGTTCTGGGATTTTTACTCACCGTTCTTGTGATCATTTTGAACCCACGGGGTGAGATCTTGCGTGGAGCCCCAGATCGAGGAAGATTATCAGTGGTCTTGTATGTTTTCCCACAGTTGATTTCTTCACACCAAGCTGTTTACCTATTGCAGATTCAGACTTCCCAGCCTGGTGCAGGTCTATAATTTTGTTTCGGGTGTCCTTTGACAGCCTCTAGTTTTGGCCATGGTGGAGTTTAGAGTGTGACTTTTTGAGGTTGTGGACAGGTGTCTTTTATACTGATAACGGGTTCAAACAGGTGCCATTAATGAAGGTAACGAGTGGAGGACAGAGGAGCCTCTTACAGAAGAAGTTACAGGTCTGTGAGAGCCAGAAATCTTGCTTGTTTGTAACTGACCAAATACCGGTACTTATTTTCCACCATATTTTGCAAATAAATTCTTAAAAAATCAGACAATGTGATTTTCTGGATTTTTTTTTTATCATTTTGTCTCTCATAGTTGAGGTATATCTATGATGAAAATTACCGGCCTCTCTCATCTTTTTGAGTGGGAGAACTTGCACTATTGGTGGCTGACTAAATACTTTTTTGCCCCACTGTATATTTTTAATGTGACGATATAAAACTTGATTCCAAAAAAAAAAAAGAAGCTGCTCCGCCTACCTTTGCAGTAGTAATGATTCCTTCGTGTTTGTTACTTCCTGTTTTCATGGTGAAAAGATTCCCAGGATCTCCATCAACGATTGTGAACTTTGCATTCCAGGCGGAAGAACGTGGCTCATCACCGTCTGTCACCAACATCCGAACAACTTCAGCATCTACTTTATTCTCGTCAACTGTTGCTGTGTACTGAGGAAATGCAGAGGATGGGAGGGGATTCAATATCGGGACAAAGACTCATAAGAAAAGGAATCTATTTCTTGTTAATGAAATGTTTTTAATTACAGACTTTAAAGAGAGGCGATCCATTAAAAACTGGTCAGTTTAAAAACTACTGCATTCCTGTGTGCGTGTTGTACTTACAGATGCCTCGGTAAAAACTGGAGCATGATCATTGCTGTCCGTCACCTTGATAATCACTTCGCTGATGCCAGTATGGCCTTTTCCTTTTAAGTCGGTGGCGCTTACTTTCAGTGTGTACTCAGGGTACATCTGTTGGATGAAATGCTGATTTTAAGTAACAAAGCAAAGAGCATCACTTCCTTCAGCAAACAAAGACATTAACAAATTTTACTGTTTACAATTTAATCTCCTACCATTTCACTTCAATGTAATTTTCTTTGTTAATTCACATTAAGTTTTGTTCCTGTAGAGCATTTTGAGTTGTCTTGCTACCGAAATATTCTAAATAAAAAAACTTGCCTAGATAAATATAAACATCTTGTGCATATTTGGTTTTTTCACTTGAATGAAAAATTCCAAACTTAGTTAAGAATAAAACTATGGGTAGATTTTTGTGTACCTTTGCAGCCTTCCATCTATGAATAACTTTATAGAAAGTATTCACCTCTTCTACTCTGCCTGCTAAGACGCATCTCTCCCTCCCTCCTGGCTTGCCTACATTTTTATAAATTTTTACCTTCTTGAGTCTTAGTCTAAGTCTTCTTATCTCTTAACAAAGGTGACTGAACGTTAGAGAAACGTATGCTGGTGTAGATTCTCAGTCATCCAGGTCATAGTCAGTACAAAAAAGTAAGAAAAAACAATCCACTGGATTTTGTTTCCAAGTTTGAAGACGTTTCTTTTCCTATCCAGGAAGCATTTTCAATTCAAAATGTCAGAAATAGCGTTGAGTTCGAGGCTTTATAGATTGCACCAACAAAGCGTTGTTTTGGCTTAGAAAGGTTTCAGGCTAACAAAGAAACCAAACGACCCCCATTCCAAAGTTGTGGACCCGCTCATCAGGTTCAATTTGCCTGTTTTCTAAGCCAAATCAAAAGTGAGCTAATAATCTGCTGGCCAAAGGAGGAGAGATCCAGAGTTTGCTCACAGCTCCAGCTACTGTAGCTAGAAACTAGTGTTTGTTGCCGAGATTTTGTGTCATGATGCCCCCCAAACACCAGATGTCATTTACAACATTGGTTTTTAGGCTAAATCTAGTGGGTCCATCATTGTCTTGATTTAGTTGGTTTAGATTAATGTAAAATCATTGTTGAAAATGTGTCTGTGTTTGGTCAGTCTGATTTTGTTCCACTTTAGTCCAATAATAGATGTTGAAACGTTACAAAACCAGTTTTCAACGTCTTATTAACAATTTGAAAATTACAGCCTTTCCCTTTGGACTTTTCAACCAAATGTGGAAGTCGCTTGGACGTAAATTATGTCATCTTTTTAATGTCTTTTCCACCAATTTTTGCTCAGTGGACAAAAAGAAAGCGTTAGATCAGTGAGTCTGAACACTGATTGGTAAAACTTCTGAGTCAAAGGTTGCTTTACCAAAACATCAGATTATTAAACTAAGAAACTTAAGAACAAGTTCTGTTTTTGAATTTTAACTCATCTCCATAAACCTTGGCATCTAATAAATAAAACTAAACATGTTGATAGTAACATAATTCTGCTTTTAAGCAGATGGGTCAAAACTATCAGGAATCTCACCTCTCTGTCCAGCGCAGCAACATTAACTCTGATGGCTCCAGTAACAGAATTGATAGTAAACATGTTAGGCGATGGTTCTGCTGGCACCTGTTCCATAATACGGTAGCGGATATCAGAGTTGTCATTATTAGGCTCATCGGCATCTGTGGCCAAAACCTGAATAATGTCAAAACCTGATGGAGAGAAAAGGAAATTCAGGTCGATAAAAAAAGAAACAATTTAACTGCATCAATTACACTTAACTATTTATATGCTGTCCTTAAAGTGTCTTATACTGCTATTAGAAATTCCTTGAAAATCATGGAACCGATGAAAAATGACATTTAAAATGGTTTAAAATTTAAAAAATGCATCTCTGTTGTTTCAAAAGTAGATATTCATAAAAAGATTCAACTTAAAACTTTTAGTTTTGATAATGCTTATAGTTTGCTTATAGTTAGAGCGGCTCAGATTTTCTTGAACTATCTCTATAGTTATGCTGCTATAGGCTTAGACTGCTGGAGGACAAAGAATCAATCTGCTTCATTCTATCTCTATTCTCCCATTCTTTATTATTTGTTAGTTCAATCTCTAACATTCTGCTCTCTCAGCTTTTTCTCATAGTAGCTTCATCTGGTCTGTTCCTGTTTGGCTGTGACTCAATCCTGGAGAGAAATATTAGCTGTGCTGCTGCCATCAACACCTTTGTTATATATGTTGGACCTTTGCCTGTTTTTCAGTGTTTAGTCCTGTTTCTCTCCTAGATATAGCTATGGGCGCAGCTTTGACTATGACAAACTGATCAGCTCTCTTTCATTCCTTTGACATGAAAACTGGCTCGGAGCTAGTCTAACTATTTCTTTCCCAGAGAGAGAGACTCCCATGGTGCAAGTTTACCATGAACTTTTCCAACAACATTTGGCCATTACTATCACAACTGGGTTGCAAAAAAAAAAAAAAAAAAAAAAATATATATATATATATATATATATATATATATATATATATATATATATATATATATATATATATATATATATATATATATATATATATATATATATATATATATACCGGTATATATATATATATATATATATATATATTTAGACGTTGTTACACCAGTAACCTGAGTGCAAAGTTTTAATCTGTTGCCCTGCAGAGGTAATTTAGCTGAACAAAATATACAAACAAAAACCTAGTTAAAAATTGTTGATTAAAATGTACAGTATAGAAAAAAAAAAACAGAAGTATTATTCCACACAGGGACGAACTTCTAAATATTTATGTAAAAGTCGGAGACAGAACCAAGCTTCAAGTTTCGTCTTTTTAAAAACTGAAATTAATATCATTGTCATTATATTGATTATATTTTTGGTATGTTATGTTGTAAAACATTGCTTTTGAATGGTATACTTTGTAAAGAATCAATTTCTTGGGTAAAAAGTCCCAGCCTTCTCTTTTTTTCAGTAGATGAAACCAGTGACCTACCATTTGGTGAGTTTTCAGAGACTTCTGCCACGTAGAGAGTATGATAAAAATATGGCACATTGTCATTCTGGTCGATCACTTTGATTATCATTTCCATAGGCTCTTCTGCATTTCCAGAACTTCCCTCTGCCACAGCATGAGCCCAGATCTATAGAAAGGAACATTTCATTTTATTAACAAGTACAGTTTGTGGGTCCATAGTTATTAATTACAATAACTCTGTTTAATTGATTTCATCACAGGTGACTAAACATTTATATTCATCAAATTTTGATCTGAGTATTTTTTGAAAATATTAACATTGTTACATAAAAACTATTCATCTTTTAAAGCAGCATTAAAAGAAAACTAGTTACCCTGTATTGCGCCTGTTCCTCTCTGTCCAGTTCCTGTGTGACATACAGATTACCAGTCTTCCTGTCCATGGTGAAAAGATTAATGGGAGGCTGATCTGCTCCTGGACCAGTGATGCTGTAATGGATCTTCTTTCTGCTGTCTTTACTAGAGCGTATCTGAACAGAATGAAAAATGAGGATAAAAGTTTTAAAACAACAAAATAACTTAAAGAGAGACATTAATGCAGGAGACAGCCCTAACAGCTAGAACTAACAGTTGCCTGACTAAAGGATTTTATCACTATTACTAATGTTAAATAACATACCAAAACTACTGCTAACAATTTATTTATGGCAGGGAGCAGAATTCAGCTTTGGTAAAGTCACCGATGGCAGAATAGAAACAAAAATCTGAATACACCTTAAAGATAAAAGGTATGAAAGAAAAAAAATCGACTGGATGCTATTTTTATGGTTCAGTTTGTCTCACCTGATTAAGCCTATAAGGATATGGTCCTCTGTGATTCTCAGAAACACTTAATGGAGGGATAACCCAGTCTCTCTTCCTCCTCTTCAGCCCTCCACTAGATTGGGGGAAAAGCAGGACGGGAGCTTCTGGATTCACAGCATCCTGATAAAACATACATTTTTTTAGTAAGCTGTGAGTATAGCTTGCAAGCTGGGTTACAAGCTAAAATAATATATTGTTGTTCATATTCAATTAATTGTATTTAATATACAGTATACTGCACAAAGTATTTGTTCCCCTCCTGATCTCAGTGAACTTCAGTCACATTGCTGTCCTGACCCATGGGGTTCAATGATGCCGGTCCACCCCTTGCAGCTATCCTGAGCAAGCTGTCCATTAGCCGTAGTGTTGATGGAAATTTTTTTACCATTTTTTCAGTAGTACATTTGTGAGGTCACATACTGGCAGGTCTGGCTCTCAGTTTTCCTCTAATTCACCTCAAAGGTGTTCTATTGGGTTTAGGTCATGACCCTATGCAGGCCAGTCCAGTTCATCAAACTAGACTCTGCCATCCATGTCTTTAAGGGCTTTGCTCTGTGCCATGTTGGAAGAGGAAGGATGCAGATCCAAACTGCTCCCACAAAGCTGGGATCAAGAAATCATCCAGAATGTCTTAGTTCCTTTCACTGGAACTAAGGGGCCAAGCCAAGCTCCTGAGAACCAACCCCACACCATGAGCCGACCGGTTTTGTTGGACAGTTGAAATCACCTGACACGTATCAATGCTGCAATTCACTGAGCTTCCTGAGAGCGATCAATCCTCTCATTAATGCTTGATTTTATCCACCTGTGACCATGGGAGTGATTGAGACACCTGGTTCCATGATCTAGATGGGTGAGGAGGTACACTTTCGTCTTCTGCAGAAAAGTAACTGTGATTGTGTTGTTTCATTTCTAGGACAATGAGGATTGGAACACTATGGTGATAGCTGCACTGCTCCACTTGTGAAAGTGAAATCTGTTGGGTTCTTTTTGGCATCAAGACAATTATTCTTATTGACACATTGTCAGACAGGACACTTAAAAAAAGAACAAGTTAAAAAAGAAAACACAGCACCTGCAGTTTTCTGTAGAAGGGCAGATCATGGAGATTTATGGATATTTAGGGTCCACAAAACAAAAAATAGGAGAAGACGTAGACGAGTTAAAAAAACGTTTTGAAAAATCAAAATGTCTCTGTATTAAAGTTAAAGGCCCATGTCTCAAGATAACTGCTGCTTGAAATAAACTTTTAGGGAGAACTGGTTTGTTACAAACTGCATAGAGTAATTCTAGATTCATGGTGGCTCCGTTTTTTACCTATATTTGTTTTTCTTTAGTTGGCGCTGCTTCTTGTCTGTTTGATAACTCTTCTAGATCGATGATTTGTTCTGTTTCTTGCTCTAAGTAAACATCAGAGGAGCCATAATTGTCCTGCTGCTGCCTGTTTAGCAGTTTCACCAGCACACCAGTTGTCACATACAGCTGAACATTTGTCACAACCTCATCTGAAAATACAAAGATGTGCAGTGTTGAACCCATCTACATTAATCCCAACTGCTGATGAGAAAGAACCACATGGTCCTGGGACCAGACCTAACATGTTCTGTTGCTGACAGGGGAAGTGTTTTTTGTTGATGGCTCTTGTTTTAAAGATGATTTAGTAAAAATGAAAACAGGTCATGCCGTCGTGTCACTCCCCCATAATATAGTTGAAGCGAAGGAAATTCAGTCATATCATTCAGCACAGGCAGTTGAATTAATTGCATTAATAAGGGCTTGCGAACTGACAAGAGGATGCGATGTGACAATTTATAAAAATAGTTGGTATGCATTTTCAACTATCTTTTTCTTTGCAAACCAATGGGAACTCTGAGGCATGGTAACCTTAACTGGCAAAACGTAGGTTATTTCTAACAGAAATGTTACAGGTTATCCCATCACATCCAGGGTGTATTGGCTCATCTAGAGAGAACGACACGGAGAAGGTAGTACATATAACAGGATGCCAGAGTACCATCACTGGCCCTCCACCCTGACTTTGTCTGCGACACCCTCCCTAATCAAAAGCACACTAGCTATTCTACTTGGAAACCAAAAGCTAACTTCCTACGAAGGGTGGCTGGTTCCTGTGTGGAAGGGACAGCATATATCCATCATTGCCTGCAAACTGGTCAGGCACCTCTGCTCCTGAGTTTTTCTCCGATCACACCATCATCATCTCAACCCAGGCTGTGAAGGACCATCATTTGTCTAATAGGAGGAAAAGAGAACTCAGCTCCAGCTCAGTGTTCCAACCCCATGATCCCATATGGAATTCTGAAGATCCCCCCGAACACAAGCACTGGAGCACAGCTAACAAAACAGGCCTTTCACTTTTCCCATGGTTGGGGTTGGCAAAACTAGTTGATGATCGAGACCTTGGACTACAGAAGGAAGACGCTGTTTAACATCACACGGATAGAACAATGTCCATTTGTCACTATCAGAATAATTTCTAAAGAGCAGCGTCACACTATTTACCCTGTATTGTCATTTGGATTTTATTTATTTTTCTTTAATGACATGTCGAAATTAGACAATGCAAAATTAATTGTATGGAAATGTTTAGTGTTTTATAAATTATACAAAAGATAGTTATGCTGCTATGGGCTTAGATTGCTGGAGGACATAGGGACCCCTTTTTTCCTTCTGCTTCATTCCATCTCTTTTCTCCCACTCAGCAGAATCTGTTAGTTCAATCTCTAACGTTCTGCTCTCTCTGCTTTTTCTCATAGTAGCTTCATCTGGTCTGTTCCTGTGTAGTAGTGTGTAGTCCTGTTTCTCTGACTGTGACTGGCTAGATGTGCACTTGGAGCTCTTCGTCCTGGCTGTGTATTCCCTTGACTTGGCCGCCTTTTTAGCTGGTTGACAGTTGCCTTTTATATCTCTGCTTCTTTTTCTATCTATTGCTTCTGTCTCCTTGAACCCCAGTCGACCTCAGCAGATGGCCTCTCACACTGAGACTTGTTCTGAGGGAGGTTTCTTCCTGTTAAAAGGGAGTTTTTCCAGTCTACTGGCTACACTTATGCTTAGTGTGAGGGATTGCCTTTGAGTCGATGAGTCGATTCAATCAACTGGTTTTAATTAGATAGAAAACTTTGAATTATTTATTTGACTGGTTAATCTGGTGAAATGTAGATTGTCTTGAGATGACATGTGTTGTGAATTGGAGCTATATAAATAAACTGAATTGAATTGGAAAGATCAATTATAGCATTGAAATTATTAAACATTGTAACTTATGGATTTTATTCATCTCTCAAAATTTTACATTTTCTCTTGTTTAAAAAAATTAAATTTCTGACAATTATTCCATCGTTCAAGCTCTACAGGGTTAAATTTGAGGGTAAGAACATAATAGAAAAAAGGTTGACATTTTAAATGATTTAATTTTCTGGTGTTGCAATGAAGTTTTAAAAAGTGACGTTAGCAGCAACATTTAATCTCCATCTGGGATCAATATGGGATATGTAGATGGAATTAAACAGAATTTTGTCAAATGATTTGTTTTTAAGCATGTATTAGAAATAAAGTGCATAGAAATAATACATTATTTAATAAAACACTATTTTATTTACTTACAGCAGGCTGAGAGATGACTGGAGGGTTATCATCATTTGCGGACACAGTGATCAATACTTTAGCTTGCGCAGCCAGTCCCTCCCCTGCTAAATCTGCCGCTTCTACCAGCAGAGTGTACTGGGGGTGTTTCTGTGAGCGGAGATAGAAGACAAAGTAAATTCAGGCTGTTGGGATGATTTTTTTTAATATCCTGCTTGAATTACCCCTCTGTCCAGTGCTTCAGCATTGACTGTGATGACACCAGTGACTGGGTCTATTGCAAACACTGATGGACTGGGTCCTTGAGGCTCCTTGCTCATAATCCGATAACGGATGGCAGAGTTGTCATTATTTGGCTCATCAGCATCTGTGGCCTCAACTTGGATCACCTCGAAACCTTAAGAAGAAATAAAATGCAGAAAAATTAAAGCAGAAGCTTTGTCCCGTTTTAACAAGAATTATTTGACAAAAATTTAAAATCTGAGCCGGGCTGACCAGAGCAGCTCATCATTTCTACCTAATTACCTTCATGTCATTGTTAACCCTTTATAGGGAAAGTTAGCATTTTTCGCTTGCAGACCCCTTATATATATATATATATATATATATATATATATATATATATATATATATATATATATATATATATATATATATAATATATTTATTTATTTTATTATTTTACCGAGGTATACTTCTGAGAAACCAACCAAATATTAAGCTCTCGGTTATATCGGCTTATATTGTTTTAGATTCAACCTTGTACTGAGGCACTTTGATTCCTGTAGCACCTAAAGAGAAACAAATTCTTTTAGTTGTCTTATACGTTTATTTTATACTATTCTAACTTATAATGTTTCGACTGTCAAGTAGAATGTGGTAACTTATAAAACTTACTGAAAGTGAACTTTAAGATAAACATTAGATAATGTTTTGTTCTTAATAAACATCGTTATAATATGTGTTTCTTTAACCAAAAATTTAAACTTTGTAATGAGTAAAAACGTTGACTGCAACAGGGTTGAAATCCGGTTAGAATTAAGTCTAATTACTTCACCTGCATTAATGTCTCCCTTAATAAATTAAAGCAGAAGCTTTGTCCCGTTTTAACAAGAATTATTTGACAAAAAAATTAAATCTGAAACCCGGCTGACCAGAGCAGCTCATCATTTCTACCTAATTACCTTGATGTTAATGTTAACCCTTTATAGGGCAAGTTAGTGTTTTTGATCGCTTGCAGGCCCCTTCCAAATGGAGTCTGCATCCACACACATGACCTGAATGAGAAGGTGATTAAAAGGCTTTTGGAGCGTTCAATGGCTGCCGAGGAGGTAATGTAATCATTTAAATCAGTTGTGCCTGAATGGAGACATATTTCAAATTTGAAGGACAATGAGCGCTGAGGACCCCGGGTGCTGCACAATGGCAGCCCACTGGTCTCCAAAGGGATGGGTTAAACGCAGAGAGTGCATTTCGTTGCTCTGTACTTGTGACAGTGTAATGAGTTAAGAAATTCTGCTCTAAATGATCAGATTTCTGCTTATGCTAAACATTGCATTGTCAGTTTTGTTGCAAAGTAACAGGTTTATGTGGGTGATTGATATTAGAAACATCGGCAAATCATTGACTGCCTTGTAGAAAGAAGTGTTAGTTTGTGTGTGAATGGTTGTTTGTCCTGTTTGTGTCTGTATTGCCCTGCGATGGACTTGGGACCGGTCTAGGATGGGCTCTGCATCTCGCCTATTGACAGCTGGGTTGATGGATAGATGGATGGATGGATGGATGGATGGATGGATGGATGGATGGATGGATGGATGGATGGATGGATGGATGGATGGATGGATGGATGGATGGATGGATGGATGGATGGATGGATTACTCTTTGGTTACGCTTGGCTTTGTAAATTTTGCTTCAAACTAAAAATCTCAGGTTTTCAGAAGTCCGCCGAAAAGAAAAAGAAAAGAGAAAAAGGGAAGATGACACCAGAGGCTTGAAGGATTTTGGGAGTAAATATTAAAAATAAAAGAGGACAGCGTAGCAGTTCTCTCGTCGCTGCTGCGGGGGGCGGAGGGTGACAGCGTCTGTTTGAGGAGGAGACAGAGAGCCATCCCTACTCATAATGGAGACAGTGCAGCTGCAGGGGCTTGCTGCCTGATCGGAGTGTCTGAGCATAGTGGCTCAGAGACAGATCACGCCATTAATTTCAATGATCCTGCACTGTGGCCAACAAAAATGACTGATTTTGATCCAGGGAATGTTGTGCATTGAATAGCAAAAAGGAAGTCTTTCTCAGAGATGGCAAATGAACTACCAGCAGATTCAGAGGGCAGAGAATTTCCAAAGTATCTAACCTATTCTACCTCCCACAATGGGAGGGGAAACAATTGTTAAGGACTGGCTAATATACAACAGGTCAAAAATGGCCATATATTACCTGCCATACTGTTCTCTTATGAAGTACAGAAAATATCAACTAGTGCACAAAATTCTATAGATGGGATGAAAATATCCAACATAAAACATAACAAACTATGAAAGATTTCCAGGGCATGAAAGAAACTGTGCACACAGGCTGGTGTTGCCTGGCAAAGCCTTTCAGCTGCCCTGCACTGACCCACTACCATTCAATCAGTAAACTAGTTTTCCACACATAATGTTATCATGATTATAACAGGCAGTTTAGATATTTATTAGTTTGCCTGAATAAGTATTTTTGATATATGATTGATATAGATGATATATGACCTACCTTTGGGTGAGGCCTCAGGAACCTCTGCCTCATAGGTAGACTGATTAAAGACGGGGCTATTGTCATTCTGATCGATCACTTTGATTATTATTTCCATAGGATCTTCTGCATTTCCAGCACTTCCCTCTGCCACAGCATGAGCCCAGATCTATAGAAAGGAACATTTCATTTTATTAACAAGTATGTTTTGTGGGTCAAGTTATTCGTTTAGGGTTTATACTGTTCCAATTATAATTAACTATATTTAATTGATTTCATCACAGGTGACTAAACATTTATATTCATCAAATTTTGATCTGAGTATTTTTTGAAAATATTAACATTGTTACATAAAAACTATTCATCTTTTAAAGCAGCATTAAAAAGAAAACTAGTTACCCTGTATTCCGCCTGTTCCTCTCTGTCCAGTTCCTGTGTGACATACAGATTACCAGTATTCCTTTCCATGGTGAAAAGATTAATGGGAGGCTGATCTGCTCCTGGACCAGTGATGCTGTAATGGATCTTCTTGTTGTGATCTTTATAAGAGCGTATCTGAACAGAATGAAACATCAATGATAAAAGTTTTAAAACAAGAAAATAACTTAAAGACAGACATTAGTGCAGGTGACAGCCCTAACAGCTAGGACTAACTGTAACCTAAAACAGCTGCCTGGCTAAAGGATTTTATTAACATAACTAATGTTAAATAACAGACCAAAACTACTGCTAACAAATTATTTATGGAAGGGAGCAGAATTCAGCTTTGGTAAAGTCACCAATGGCAGAAAAGAAACAAAAATCTGAATACACCTTTAAAATAAAAGGTATGAAAGAAAAAAAAAACGACTGGATGCTATTTTTATGGTTCAGTTCGTCTCACCTGATTAAGCTGATAAGGATATGGTCCTCTCTGATTCTCAGAAACACTTAATGGAGGGATAACCCAGTCTCTCTTCCTCCTCTTCAGCCCTCCACTAGATTGGGGGAAAAGCAGGACAGGAGCTTCTGGATTCACAGCATCCTGATAAAACATACATTTTTTCAGAAAGCTATGAGTATAGCTTGCAGGCTGGGTTATAAGCTAAAATAATATTTTGTTGTTCATATTCTGTTAGGTTTCTTTTTGCTCCTTGATTTCTAGTGTTTAGTTTTCTTTTCACCATGTTTCTTTATCCTAGTTATTTGATTATTATTTTGTTGTTGTTTTCTTATTAGTTCCTGTCTTCCTGGTTCTCCATTTGTTGTCCTCTGCTGCCCTCTTGTGTCCTCTTTCTCTTGCTCTGTTTTCTGTTCAGCCATCACCTGTTTACAATTTCCTCATTAGCCCTCTCCCTGTCTCTGTCCCCTTTAATCAAGAATAGTATTTAAAATCCTCCTTCTCACATATAAAGCCTTAAATGGCCAAGCTCCATCTGATATCAGAGATCTGATTGTTCCTTATGTTCCTAACAGAGCACTTCACTCTCAATCTGCAGGTTTACTAGAGGTTTCTAGAATTTCTAAAAATAGAATGGGAGGCAGATCTTTTAGTTATCAGGCTCCTCTCCTGTGGAACCAACTACCAGTTTTAGTCCGTGAGGCAGACACCCCGTCTACTTTTAAGGCTAGGCTTAAAACTTTCCTTTTTGATAAAGCTTATAGTTAGGGTGGCTCAGGTTATCCTGAGCTATCTCTATAGTTATGCTGCTATAGGCTTAGACTTCTGGAGGACATAGGGACCCCCATTTCATCATTCTGCTTCATTCTCTCTCTATTCTCCTATTCTGCAGAATCTGTTCAATCTCTAACGTTCTGCTCTCTCTGCTTTTCCTCAGAGTAGCTTTGCCTCGTCTGTTCCTGTTTGGCTGTGACGTCATCCTGGAAAGAAACATCAGCTGTGCTGCTTCCATCAACACCCTTGTTTATAGATGTTGGAGATCGGCCTGTTTTCCAGTGTGGTCCTGTTTCTCTGACCGTGACTGAGTGGATGTGCTCTCTTCGTCCTCTGGCATGGGTTCTGGTTCGTTTTGTGATTGTTTTGTGGACAAAGTATTTGTTCCCCTCCTCATCTCAGTGAGCTTCAGTCACATTGCTGTCCTGACCCATGGGGTTCCATGATGTCGGTCCACCCCTTGCAGCTTTCCTGAACAAGCTGTCCATTAGCCGTAGTGTTGATGGGAATTTTTTTTACCAGTTTTTCAGTAGTACATTCGTGAGGTCACATACTGGCAGGTCTGGCTCTCAGTTTTCCTCTAATTCACCTCAAAGGTGTTCTATTGGGTTTAGGTCATGACCCTATGCAGGCCAGTCCAGTTCATCAAACTAGACTCTGCCATCCATGTCTTTAAGGGCTTTGCTCTGTGCCATGTTGGAAACGGAGTGTGGGGTTTGAATCCCATCCGTGGCCTCTGGAACGAAGCCTTTTTTTTTTTCTTTTTTTTTCAAATCTCCAGTTCACACAGTTTCCTTCCTTAATTTGAAATTGATCTGGATGCAGTATTGGTAATGCTAAAGCTCTGTCCCTGTTCAGTTGGCTTAGGTGAAGAAATTATATGTTGGTGTTTGAAGGTTCACAATAGCGTCTGACATTTCAGACTTTAAACTTTTTTCTCAGTTTGTACGTGCGTGGCAGTCTGGTCCTGTCACTATGCCTCCTTGTGATGATGCGTCCAGGTCGCCTTGTCAGGAGTATATCCATTTGGCTGACTGGTCAGAACAAATGCGTCTTACGTGGAGACTGTGGGATCAAATCCTGCCTGGTTCCTCTGTGGTGTACATTACCACACTTGACAGTGTCAGATCTTAACATTTAATATCTTAGTGGAGCAGTTCCTGTGTCTCAGGTTAATGGATAATACAACGTACATTTGTCAGTATCGATATAATTTGTAAGGAACAGCCTCACACTATTAACCCTCTATTGTCATTTGGATTTTATTTATTTTTCTTTAATGACATGTCAAAATTAGAAAATGCATAATTAACTGCCTGAAAATATATAGGGTTTTATAAATGATACAAAAGATAGTTATGCTGCTATGGGCTTAGATTGCTGGAAGGCATAGGGACCCCTTTTTTCCTTCTGCTTCATTCCATCTCTATTCTTCCACTCTGCAAAATCTGTTAGTTCAATCTCTAACGTTCTACTCTCTCTGCTTTTTCTCATAGTAGCTTCATCCGGTCTGTTCCTGTTTGGCTGTGACTCCATCCTGGAGAGAAATATCAGCTGTAATGCTGCCATCAACACCTTTGTTTATAGATGTTGGAGCACGGCCTGTTTTTCAGTGTAGTCCTGTTCCTCTGACTGTGACTGGCTGGATGTGCACTCGGAGATCTTCTGCCTAGCTGTATGTTCCCTTGACTTGGCCGCCTTTTTAGCTGGTTGACAGTTGCCTTTTTGTATCTCTGCTTCTGTCTCCTTGAACCCCAGTCGACCTCAGCAGATGGCCTTTCACACTGAGACTGGTGCTGCGGGAGGTTTCTTCCTGTTAAAAGGGAGTTTTTCCTCTCCACTGTCACTACCCTCATGCTTAGTGTGAGGGAGTGCCTTCGAGTGAATGAGTCGATTTAATCAACTGGTTTTAATTTGATAGAAAACTTTGAATTATTTATTTGACTGGTTAATCTGGTGAAATGTAGATTGTCTTGAGATGACATGTGTTGTGAATTGGCGCTATTTAAATAAACTGAATTGAATTGAAAGATCAATTATAGCATTGAAATTATTAAACATTGTAACTTATGGATTTTCTTCATCACTCAAAATTTTACATTTTCTTTTGTTTAAAAAAATTTAAATTTCTGACAATTATTCCATCGTTCAAGCTCTACAGGGTTAAATCTGAGGGTAAGAACATAATAGAAAAAAGGTTGACATTTTAAATGATTTAATTTTCTGGTGTTGCAATGAAGTTTTAAAAAGTGACGTTAGCAGCAACATTTAATCTCCATCTGGGATCAATATGGGATATGTAGATGGAATTAAACAGAATTTTGTCAAATGATTTATTTTAAGCATGTATTAGAAATAAAGTGCATAGAAACATAGGCGTAACTTCCTTAAGGACTGGTGTGGACATGTCCCCACCAATCTTGACCGGTAGGGGGACAGTCCCCACCAATATTTTGTACACGTATTTTGCTTTCGGTGCTGTGTATATCTGATTAAAACCCCATTCATGCCGCTCCTCAGAATGAAAATAAAAAAAGTTCTCCCCGCTGCTCACCGTCCACAAACCCCGACAAAAAACTCAGAAAAAAGAATCTGTTGCCTCTCGCTTTCTCCCCATCACCCCCCTCCGCCCTCTCCCCATAACACCTGTCGCTTCCCTCCAAAAATGCTAACCCATTCAGGGACAGAAGTGGACTCAGACTTGCAGGTGAGAGGGACTTGTAGAAATATTAAGACCTAATTTTAGTCAGGAGAGACTTAAAGTAGTAAAAGAATAGAGAATAGTGTAAAAATAAGTTAATACCGTATTTAAAATATAACTGAACCGTTGGGAAAAAAACTCAAACCACTCTTTTCCGGCCCTGTTATGTCAGCTACACTAGAGTCCTGCAACGGGTCGGGTACCCGCGAAAAATACATTTAAAAAAAATAAACGGGTCGGGCGGATATTTTCTTAGTGCGGGCGGGTAGTTGGTGATTTTTTTTTATGCGTGTGTGTTGTTATGGACATCAGAAATGTTATATTAATCAGGCACTGGGTGCAGCGCAGCGTACAATAGCCTATGATGTGTTAACGGGTCGGGTTGCGGGTTAAATATCAACGGGTCGGGTCGGGTCGGGTTCGGATTTGAATTGAAGATATCCGCGGGTGACGGGTCGGGTTCGGTAGTCATCCTAACGGGTTAGGGCGGGTGCCGGTTGGTAAAACTCGACCCATGCAGGTCTCTAAGTTACACTACATTCAGTATCGTTGCCATAGAAACAGACAAGAGCGCCAATATATCAGAAATATACTAAAACACACGCAAATAATTTCCCACATAAAAACAGGACTTTCAGTCCATTACAGTTTTCCGTTTTTAGAGGGTTGTTTATTTTGCGTTTATTAAGTGATGGCTGTGGTATATTAGCTTTCACTGCTATAAGCTTTCGCAGCAGTGATTGATTAATTTAAACACCTGCTCTACTGATGGTCTATCGGAGTTGGTGTTTAGGTTGAACATAAAGAACACCTTTTATTTGAAGCTTCTTGTAGCTACTGTTTTAATCCCGGCTTTACTTAAAACTTTTTCCTGACTTTGATAGTGTTGCCATTCAGTAGCAAGCACTGCGCCCCTTTTTCTTTTATATGTACACGTACATTTAAGATTTAGCGTGTTAAGTTGACAACTCATGAGCAAGCTGCTTTTTGCAATCTAGCAGGAAGGTAAGGATAGGATCTTGCAGGTGTGACGTCACTCAGGGGCGGATTTAGGAAATTTGGGCCCCTAGGCAAAGACAGGCAGGGGGCCCCCTGAGAAGAAAACCCATAAAACAGACCCATTCTACAGATAGAGAAATGTTAATAGAATAGACATCCATTATTTGTTCTAGGTTTTGTCCCTCTCTTCTTGTCCCTTTTTCCTCTCTATTTATCAGCGTTCTGATGGCATTTTAGCCAAAGGATTTTTATCAAAAACATTATTAATGTGCACAAATAAGGATTAGTTGTATTAACCATACATGGAAACAGAGTTTTATGGGGCCCCCAGGAACTTGGGTTCCTAGGCAACTGCCTAGTATTGCCTAATGGTAAATCCCCCCCTGGATACCCTGCTGGTGGATGTTCTTGACAGAAAGACGGAGTTGCTTAATCATATTCTGCTTAAGGCCCCATAAGATCTCGTCCGAGTCCTGGTTTAAAAGTAAATTAATTTTAAAAAGTGAACCAAAATTGACTGTCAATAAATGTTCTACAAAATTGATATATTTATTTGATTTCTTTGATTTGAACTGTCTGTTTAGATTTATGTTATAGTTTTTGCACAAAATATATAAGTGAATATTGTAACAGTTATGTTTTCAACTGTAAGCATTAAATTGATAAATGTTATTCGCATTTTTTTGGCTTTATCCTTTCCAACAACAAAAAAAGGCGTCGCGCAGGTAGCTCCCTTTCCTTATGAGCCGTCCCCACCAACTTTCAACACAAAGTTACACCCTTGCATAGAAATAATACATTATTTAATAAAACACTATTTTATTTACTTACAGCAGGCTGAGAGATGACTGGAGGGTTATCATCATTTGCGGACACAGTGATCAATACTTTAGCTTGCGCAGCCAGTCCCTCCCCTGCAAAATCTGCTGCTTCTACCAGCAGAGTGTACTGGGGGTGTTTCTGTGAGCGGAGATAGAAGACAAAGTAAATTCAGGCTGTTGGGATGATTTTTTTTTATATCCTGCTTGAATTACCCCTCTGTCCAGTGCTTCAGCATTGACTGTGATGACACCAGTGAATGGGTGTACTGCAAACACTGATGGACTGGGTCCTTGAGGCTCCTCCCTCATAATCCGATAACGGATGGCAGAGTTGTCATTATTTGGCTCATCAGCATCTGTGGCCTCAACTTGGATCACCTCGAAACCTTAAGAAGAGGAAATAAAATGCAGATAAATTAAAGCAGAAGCTTTGTCCCGTTTTAACAAGAATTATTTGACAAAAAAATAAAATGTGAAGACCGGCTGACCAGAGCAGCTCATCATTTCTACCTAATTAGCTTCATGTCATTGTTAACTCTTTATAGGGCAAGTTAGTGTTTTTGATCGCTGGCACCCCTTTACAAATGGAGTCCCCCCCCGTCCTTCAGTGAGGTCAAGAAGCAAAAGATCTATATCCAGCCATTCAGCAAAGGTACTGCTACATGGTTGTACATTATACTTTGGTGTTTAACCAATTAGATGAGCCCTTGAAAGATATATTGCCTACTGTAAATTAACTTGAAAAAAAAGGTAAATTTTAAAGGTAATTTAAAAGTTAAAAATTAAAGTTCTAAAGTTAATGAGCCCAGTTAACAATTATATCTAGGTATAAAACTAAAAAATGTAAGTGCCAGTATCAACATTAGGTAATGCCCCCCCCCCCCCCCCCCCCCCCCAAAAAAAAAATAATAATAATTCTTTTACTCTCAAAGTGTTTTTCAGGAATTTCTTATAGAAGCACGTTTGTTATTTTTCTCAGTATATTTGGGTAAGTTGACATTTCTTGTTATTACATTGACATAAATTTTTGCCATCAAAATATCCATATTTTTTGTATGTTACAAAGGTAATTAGGTATTGTCCTGGATTCCAATAACACTAATGGCTTGAAATTTCGATTTTCAATATTTCAAAATGCCCTATAAAGGGTTATAGTGTGTTGTTAGGTTCTTTTTTTCAAAATTATTATTACTTTTTTAAACAGGAGAGTACAACAATATTAAGTGTAAATTAAAAAAAACAACATTTATATATATATTTTTTTTTTTAATACACACAAGTTATTATGGAGGAAACCAAGAGCCAATTCCCTTTGAAGCTGAGATATAGTTATGGAAGATGCACCACTTCTGGCACTGCAAAAACCAGAGGTCCAAGTTTGTAAATGAAAAGGTAGAATGCCATCTTATGTTAGGTTCTCTCCAGAGCAAACCTGGCTGATATCTGCCAAAGTCAAGAGGGGGGATTCCTCTTCTCCCAGCAGAAATAAGTGCTGTATTTTAAACATTTTGCACCATGATTATGGAGAAGTTGAAATCCTGGCTTGAATAAAGGCAAAAAGTGAAGCTCTTTTGTAGCCACAGACTTTGCAGCCACTGCTCTCTTCTTGGATGGTCATTAAACTGTCAGTTGATGGTCTAGTTCATTTTACAATGTGAGTATTGTTAAATGTTAGCCTTTTTTCTTTAGCAAGAGAATCAAGATTTCTCATCATTACATAGAGCTCTGGATCCCCACTGTCCTCAATGTTTTAGGTGTTTCCCTGCATCCAAACACATGACCTGAATGAGAAGGTGATTAAAAGGCTTTTGGAGCGTTCAATGGCTGCCGAGGAGGTAATGTAATCATTTAAATCAGGTGTGCCTGAATGGAGACATATTTCAAATATGAAGGACAATGAGTGCTGAGGACCCCGGGTGCCGCACAATGGCAGCCCACTGGTCTCCAAAGGGATGGGTTAAACGTAGAGAGTTCATTTCGTTGCTCTGTACTTGAGATAGTGTAATGACAATAAAATGATGAAAAAAAAAAAAGAGTTAAGAAATCCTGCTCTAAATGATCAGATTCCTGCTTAGTGTTGGGATCTGGAGATATACCACCTTTCTCCAGCAGAGTGCGCTGTGGGTCTCCTGGGCTGGAGCCCTCCAGCACACCTGAAGCTCATCAGCCCATCAGAAGACCTTCCTACATAAGCAGCAGCCAGACCTTCCTTCAACGCCGCAGTGTTGACCAAGTTTGGTTAGCGAACCTGAGCCTCTGTTATTCTGATAGAATCTTAGTTGTCTCTAGAGAGAAACCTGATTCTAATCTGCCTCTGTCTTCTTGCTCACAGGAAACCCGTCTAAGTCTAAAGCTCTGGATGAGCTTTGCCTGTAAACCTGCCTGCCTGCCTAAGGGAGCCAAACCTGAAGATCTCAATCTGGACTCCTCCTGTTGCTCTCAAGGAAGAGCTGGAATCTCAAACCAAGGTCTGCCACTCATAAGTCAGAAGCTAGACGCTGCTGCTGCTGAGCACTCTGCTGAACCAACAGTCTCTGGACCCAACCGGTTCCCTCTCTCACAAAGATCAGTCTGGACCTCTTCAAGACATCAGTGAATCCAGTCCCGGACCAGTGCCTGAACCAGTTCATGTTCTTTGTGTGAAAACCTTCAATAAACTCTGTTAAACTTTTACTCTGCTTCCAGTGGTGTTCTGCATGTGGGTTAAGTCTCTTAAACCAATCATGACAGAACACTGCGGCCAAACACAAAACCCAGCGGATCACCTCCGGAGGAGGCTTGAGGAGCAAGCTGCCCAAATCCAAGGACATGCGCACACCCTCCGTGAGTTAAACACTCATATTGAACACCAGAATCAAGTTTTGCAGGAATACGCTGGCTACATGAGGAATGCTAATGCCACACCAGCAGTACTTCCTGTTCCAGAACCAGTTCCGCCTCAAAGGTCACCGACAGTCACGTCATTTCCGGAGTTCCGCCCGAGTCCTCCTAAAAGGTTTTCAGGTAACCAAAAGGATTGTAAAGGATTTTTGTTTCAGTGTCGTTTGCTTTTTGAGCACTCCCCCGTCAGTTTTCCGAATAATAGGAAGAAAATCTCCTTCATTCTCTCTCAACTTACTGGATGAGCCCTTGAATGGGCGGAGGCAAGGTTCTCTTCTGAGTCCAGCTTTTCATGTACCTTTTCTGAGTTTATATCTGAGTTTTCTCAAGTTTTCAATCATGACTCAGACAAAACTATTGATTCCCGAGCCCTGCTTAGTTTAAAGTAGAGAAATTCGACAGTGGCTGAGTTCTCCATTGACTTCCGGGTTAAAGCTGCAGCCTCAGGCTGGAACGAGTGCGCACTTAAGAGTGCGTATTTCAAGGCTTTAAATTATAACATCAAAGACGGAAGAAAAAGGAAAAGGAAGAACCTCTCAGACCACAAGAAACACGTTTGTCTAGTTCTTCAGAGACTACTGGAAAACAAACTTTTTGTGAAAGCTGAAAAATGTGAATTTCACCAACCATCTGTCACTTTTCTAGGGTTTGTGCTCGAAGGCGGGCAGGTGAAGCCATCCGAAGACAAAATTAAGGCAGTTCTGGACTGGCCAACACCTGAGAACTGAAAGCAGCTTCAGAGGTTCCTAGGGTTTGCAAATTTCTACAGACGCTTCTGTCATGTAGAGTATAAGTTTAAGTGCATAATATTGCATACTGCGCATATGTGACGCAGCTTTGAGTTCTATGCACGCAGCGCGTGATGTACGTCAGTCAGTGAAGCAGTCTGTACGTGCTACGTCATCAGTCAGTCGTGTCTGTGTTCAATAAACTATTTTCGCTAGAAAATACTGTCGTCCAGCGAGTGTTACTTGAGACGTAAACGCCACATGATGTCAGAAGACAACTGGATTGGAGCTCTGTAACGTCGGACGTGAAAAAAAGAAAAAAAAAAACAAGTGTGTATCGCCATGGCAAAGTTTAACCCACTGGAGCAGTTCGACTTCTCTAAGCCTGAAGCATGGCCTGACTGGAAGCTACGATTCAGCAGGTATCGCAGAGCTTCACTGCTTGCGGAGGAAGAGGAAAATGTGCAGGTAAATGCATTGATCTATTCCATGGGAGCGGAGGCAGAGCACATATTCAAGGCTTTCACGTTTACTAATGCAGCAGATGCTGACGTTTACGACGTAATGGCTAATTTCGACGAACATTTCTTCCCGAAACGAAACGTGATTTATGATCGCGCCAAGTTCCTCTCAAGAGCTCAACAACCAGGCGAGAGCGTGGAAGCATTCGTAAGGCAACTGTATGAGCTAGCTGAAAACTGTGACTTTGGAGCACTAAAAGAGGAACAAATGCGGGACAGCATAGTGATTGGAATTCGGGATAAACAAGTGTCACAAAGACTGCAAATGAAAAGTGATTTAACACTGAAGACTGCCATTGAAACAGCCAGGCATTGTGAGTTGATTAAGTTACAGAATACAGACAGGGGGCACGGCGCAGAGCACGTGGACAATGTAAAATCCGTGAGGAAAACCGAACATAAGAAATTCCACAACATGCCGAAGGTAAACAAAAGGACAAAGCGAGGAGCATGCATGAGATTTGGGCGTAATCATATGGAGGCCGAGCAGTGCAGTGCAAAAGGCAAAAAGTGCATGAAGTGTAACAAAATTGAGCACTTTGCAGCTGTGTGCTACTCAAAAGCTGTACAAGAGGTTACCGAAGCTGGTGATGATGAGACAGTGTTCTTGGGCTCAGTGGAGCTAAAACAAATGGATGCACCACTAGCAGAGGATGAGCCACCATGGCGCACCACTCTAGATGTAGCAGATACGCCGGTGTCATTTAAAATTGATTCCGGAGCGGACACCTCAATTATGTCTGAAGCCACATACGAAACACTACGGAGCAAGCCCAAGCTCAGTGAAGTGAAGAACACCCTCCAGAGCCCAGGCGGTACGGTGGCCACACGGGGCCAGTTTTTAGCTAAATTAAAGGCTAATATCAGCGAGCAACTGCGAAATTGCTGCTTCAGAGTAATTGTAGTCAAAACAAATGGCGACAATCTCCTGAGCAGAACTGTGGCAACCAGACTGGGCCTAATTAAGCACATAGATGAGATCAGCACATTCAGTGGCTTAGGGACACTGAAAGGAGCGCCAGTGAAAATCACGCTTAAAGAAGGCGCAGAGCCATACAGCATTGCCACGCCACGGCGAGTACCAATTCCACTACTCCCCAGAGTCGAAGAGGAGTTAAAAAGAATGGAATCTATTGGCATAATAGAAAAGGTTACTGATCCGACTGAATGGTGCGCGCCTATGGTACCTGTCATGAAAAAGAACGGAAAAATAAGAATTTGCGTAGACCTGAAAAAGCTTAATGAAAATGTGAAACG